CACAGCAGAGAGCAGAGAGCGTGACCCTGCCCGCAACACCGAGTGTAAGCAACCGCTTCATGGTCAACTCCCTCCAAAAAAAAAAAAAAGACAACATCGACACCCCCCCTCCTCTCTCTCTCTCTCTCTGTCTGTGCACGCCTTGCATGCATGCATGCACCACTGCTGCAGGTGCTTAACCGGGATTGTAATTTAAATAATGCAAGAGACGAAGTGAGGAAAAAAAATAAAATAAATCACACTTTCACTGAACTGTTCCAGTCATCACACTCATACCGAAGCTCCACAAACCCACTCCCCACCCTTACCTTTCAGATTTTCAACTGTAGGCGAAAGACTGGAGCAAAAAAAAGCGAGCCGAGTGGCGCAAAAAGAGGAGGAAAAATTAAAAAAAACGAGGGAGCAGCAAAGTTATTCCAGTGCGGCAGTGACAGTAAATCCTTCCACAGAGGCGGTACGGCGGCTGTCTGTCAGCCTGCGGGTGAAGCATGCATGTGAAGTTAAAAGGCTGCAGAGGCGAGCCGGCAAGAGCGACACGCACTCTGTCATCAGCACCGTCAGAATCGCAGCTGAGAGTTGAGCACCGCGCGATAAAGTAAACCGCATCTCGCACTCTCTCTCTCTGTGTATCCATCCGCGAGAGCGTTCCTACTACAACACAACACACAGCACCCCCCGATATCAGCCTCTGCCCATCAGCGCAATTATTCGGCCGTTTGCGCCAAGTAAGAATCGCGTGCGTCCAAAGTACACCGTGGATGCATCTTTGCATATTTTCTGCCCTCTTTCTCTGAGATGGGTCTATTTTTTTTGCAAGTGGGAGGGGTCAGAGTGGAGTAGAGTAGTGCTTTCATTGACTGCATAGAGAAAATACTAATGCATGTAGTAGTGGCAGATAATTGGGCTGAGTTATTTTACTACTACTGCGCCAGAAATATACGCAAACACTGAGCGTCATAGCGCACACACGGCAATCCCTAAATAATCAGTCCACAGATCCGGATTACGGCCTTACACTATATTATATTGTTTAAAAAACAAAACAATACATAACAGCAGAAATGCTTTTTTAAACTGTAAATGTGCAAAAATGTGTAAAAATGAGGCAAGTGCCGCGTACTTTTGCGCAGTTTGTGCCTTTTGATTTCGCAATAAAAGCTCACAGGTGCAGCAGGAGCTGCAGACACTGACAGCTCTGAACCGGTTCAAACAGCTGATTACAACAAGGACTCGGTGAAGAATTAAAATCTTGGAGTTCGAGTTAATACACACCCACTCACACACACGCACACACACAGACTCACAGAGAAAATGTCCAATACAAATCCTGCAGACTGCATAATGCAGCGCTGAGTTTGGACAGATTGGCACCAATTAACAACAGGAAGGAAGCAATTAAAGGAATCAGATGGATGGATCTATCCTGCTGTAAGAGGAGCTGTCGATGGAGATTAACGGGCTTAGAGCGCCCTCTGCTGTTTAAAGCGTTGCAGGAGCAGACAGCAGCTAGGTGGGTGGAAGGTTACAGATTGAGACAGGTGACCACAAACCTCACAAATCCTGCAATCATGCGTGAACTAAGGTTCTTTTTTTTATGAATTGAAAGGGAAAAAAACAGGGTCGAGTGAGTTAAACTATAAAAGGGTCAGGGACAAAATAGCCCAATTCAGTGGGTTGGTGCAGATCTTTATTGGGGTTAGTGGGTCACTTCATTAAAAAATAGACTCGTGGAGAAGCAGTAAATGGCACATTTAATTAGCAATGCACTGTGTTTGACGAAGTCGGTTGCAATTTGATATTTAATGGCAACACCAGCTCCTGCCATTATGACAAAGTTAATTGGTTAAAAATGCTCAGTAGGCTTTTCCACCCTCTTTCTCTCTTACTGTTGTCAGACATCCTGCTAAACAAATCGCTAAAGCAATGAGTTGGACTCAAGCAGAGTGTGTATTTCATTACGCATGACAGACATTAAGAAGCATTTTAAAACACCAGGCTGTGGACACAAGCAGCAATCATAGGAAACAATAAAAGCATAAACAGTGAAGGAGTTTTGTGCTTGAAAATACAATAATTTTAAAACACTGTTGCATTTTGCTTTGATTTAAAGCGGGCTGAAACAGCTAAAGTCTTGCAGTAGATGTGATTACCTACACATTTACTGCACTTCAAAAAAAAAAAAAATGAAGCGCAGTATGTCTCCGCTTTTCTACATGATGAAGAAATCTGTAAATGAAAGTAAATGAAAGAAATCTGTCAGTGTGAATAAATAAAAGAGCAAATTTACACAAAAAGTTATTTTAGTCATTGGAATTAAGTCATGCTTCTGTAAAAAAAAAAAAAAAATGGACATTTACAGTAAATAATGAAAAATCTGTAACTTTTCTGTGTTGTTTTTTGTTTATCTATTACTCTGCTGTAGTGAATGGAAGTGGAAAAGCTGTAAAAGTTGTGAAAATGCAGTAAAAAGTCTCAAATTAACATCTTTCATCACATTTTCCAAAACCGTCCAATGGGCCTGATTGGAGTCTTTGCTGAACTGATTCTGGCCCCCGGCCCTAAAATTGAAAACCCTGCCTTAAATGATAACTCTGAAAACTCCAAGGTCGCAGCTCTTGATGCTCACGTGACCCTGTTAATGGAGATCTAATTAAATTGAATTACATGGTGCAATTTGCACTTTTTAAAAACATACTTTTATCAATCCAGGACAGCAGCTCTGAGTGTGTTACTGCTGGAAACGGCCCTTTCACTCTTTTTTAAACACTTCTTATATAACTGAGTCCTGTTGGTTATAACATAAAAGACCTCTTTAATGAAAACGATCTGTGATTATGTGTTTAGTGACATCATCACTGCAGCTTTTTCCTCTTCATAACAAATTATTTTCAGTTTGTTTGAAATCAGTCGGGGCCGTGGAGCTGAAACGTCTGGACTGAATTCTGAGCGTTTCATTTTGATCTAAGTTACACTTAACTAATTAAACACATCGCCATGGACGCTGTGTCACTGTGAGGCCTTACATTTAAATGAATCGCACAGATAACCCCGCAGCATCACTTACACGAGTATTCTTTTTCCTTTTTCATTAAATTATGTATAAGAAACCACATAAGCAAAGACAAAGGAGACGAAAGGAGGGGGAAAGCAAAGAAAATCCCCAAGTTGAAACTACACCCTCCGCCCTTCCCTTCGTACTCATTCCTTCATCCGTTCTCTCACGCCTCTCCTTTCCCCGCTGTGGGATGCTTGTGGAGGATAGCGATCATAACCACCAGGTTCAGGCGTTATGGTCGTGGCGTTTATCGGCTCCGGATGTTTCTTGTGTTACCGTGTTTGAGAGCGCCTGCATGGAGACACAGAGGGAAGCTTTGAGAGCGGCTGGAATGGTTTCCTGTGATAACTGAAAGCTCAGGAGAGGTTTTGATTGTGTGTGTGTATGTGTGTGTGTGCGTGTGTGTGCTTTCTTTCTCGTTAAACTTCCTCCATGGACTCTGACTGACATGGAATAACCTGCAGAGGATCTAGACAGCGAGGGCAGAGAATCCAATCTAGTTTGGCTTTGGTAAACTGATAAACAGACTCAAACATCTGACACGAGTTTTCCTCCTAGGAGCACAGCAGCGCGTTCAGTATATGTGCTCATTTTTCTGGATCTTATGATATTTAGAGATATGCACAATTTGTCATTGTCTACTCTAAAAAATGAAATGTTGCATTCACTTAACCAAGTCATGGCAACCCACAAACTCAGCTGTTTAAATCTTAAAAGTAAAATACAATTAATTATAATTATATGTTTTTATTATTTATTTATTTATTTTTTTTAAATATCCTTTTCTAAACCTGAATATCAGGTTTAAATATTAAACGCTTAAATCAGACACATAACTAAAATGGTA